GTGTTTTGAATAAATATTTTAAATTTAGTATATAATTTCGTTATAACATTTAAATAGTTCTGAAATTTTTTAATTGAAGGTTTCTTTAGATAGATATAGTTAAAAAGTGTGGTGGGGGGGGGGGGGAGGATAAATAAGAATTAGAGATAGTTTAGGAGATAATCTATCAACTAAATTAGAGATAATTTAAGAGATAAATTGGGGTTAGAGATAATTTAGGAGATAAATAGGAATTAGAGAGGATTTAGGAGGAAGTGGGGAAAAGTGGTGCCACTTGGCTAAACATTAGAAAAGCAAATCCCTATTTCTTTATGATTGTTAGAAATAGTCAAGCATATGTGATTTACTTATTGGTTTAATGGGCAATTATGTAGAATTAAAAAAATAAAAAAATTCAAAAAAACAAAAAAATTAGAAAGAGGATTTGAAACAAGGAGAGGTATGATGACATGGACAGACCAATTTTAATATATGTATATATATAGAGAGAGAGATTGGATTGGGCCCATCCCTTCCCTAGTCCCACCTAAAATTGAATTAACATGATGACAAAGGTGGGGCCCAGACTTTTAGTATGTTTGTATGTTTGTATGGACGGTGAAAGATCTATATATATATATATATATATATATATATACAAAACATGGATTCGTGGAAGCTGGACGTTTGGTAAATGGCATCTCCACGAGTGACAAAGTGTCCTGTATTACTACTCCCCACCCCTGTCTCTCTTTGCCACGGTTTTTGGGTTAACGGTTCGATTGTCCTATTTGGATGGATGATCTGTTCTAACAATAAAAATTAAAGGCAAAAAATTATGGAACTGTTCTGACTATCGGTTTTCAGGTCAACGGTTCGAATGGATAGCCCATTATGACAACAAAAGTTACAGGCAAAAGAATTGAGTGTGAGAGGTCCATTAAGCAGTATCATACGTGTTGTGTCATTTGAACGTGTGACTCATACGTTATGAAAATGGAATCGTTTTGGCCACCGGCTTTCGGGTCAACGGTTCGATCGTTTGGTTTGAACAAATGGCCCATTCTAACAAAAATTAAAAAAAAAAATAAAAAAAAAAACGACCAAAAACCATTGAACGGGTCGACTGCTTGGGTCAATGGGTCATTGATCTATTCAACGGTTTTTGGCCAGGGACCGGGATTGGGGTAAAACAAAACTGGTTGCTTGGATGATTCCCAATTAAAAACAGTGGTTCGTCCATCCGATTCGAACGGATGGCCTATTCTGACAACAAAAATTAAAAAAATTAAAAAAATGGCCAAACACCATTGAACGGGTCAACGAGGCGATGGTTTGATCGCCTAGGTCAATGGGTCGTTGATCGATTCAACGGTTTTTGGCTAGGTGCCGAAATTGGGGTAAAACGGAAATGGTTGCCTAGAAAATTCCCGGGCAAAATGTTTGTCCATCCGAGTCAATAGCGGTTCGAAAACCATGGTTTTTTATGCTTTTGGATTTTCACTATTCAAATTTATTCTATTGTGGCTTTATTCGAGCGTGTGCGGCATGGTTTTTAAAATTGACCCGATGATCGAACCGGTTATCGGGTTGAATGGTCCACCTGTTCGAACTGAACGCTCGGCCCATTCTGACAAAAAAATAAAAAAAATAAAAAACGATCAAAACCGTTCAAACGGTTTGAGCGGTTAACTGTCCTATTCAGCGGTTTGCTGACCAAAATCAACGATTTTTGGGGAAAATGGAACCGGTTAGGTGACCGGTTCCTGGTTTTTTTTCTTTTTTTTTTTTGTATTTGGCCTTCTTCTTCAAGATCCTCAAAAACGGCTTAGGGTTTACCACCATTTTATTTCTTCCATTTTGTTTCTTTCTTTAGGTTTTCTTGTGCAATGTATTTTTTTAATTTTCTTATAAGACGATCTGCTTTGTCTCTTTCTTTGATTGCATGTATCTTTAGCTCCATCTCAAAACGGAACTTTGGACTTGATTTTCTGGTTTTTTTCCTTAGTTTTTCCAATTTGGTGGATTTACCACCCTTTTTTTCTGTGTTTAAGGTCACTTTGGATTTGTCTTTCAAGATTTTGGAATCCCTTGCAATGTCCACCCTTCCATTGATCGTCCGGTTCGAATGAATGGCTCGTTCTGACAACAAAAAATATAAAATAAAAATGGCCAAAACCATTGAACGGGTCAATGGTTCGACCACCCGGGTCAACGGGGCATTGACTGATTCAATGATTTTTGGCCAAGGACCGAATTTGGTGTAATGGAACCGATTGCCTAAACGGTTCCCGGGCCGAATAATCCTACCGTCTGGGTGAACTAGGAGTTCTCGATGTAAAACAAAGAACAACTATAATGATCTCTTTATATAAGTTTCATGAATTGAGTATTTATAATTGTAAATTTCTTATTAATAAACCATTATCCTTTTAATGTTGCAAATACCAATATTACAAATTCCATTCCACCCCCTGCCAAGCAGGGACCTCCGGTAATGAATTGAAAAAAAAAAATGGCAGGGGAGGGAGAGTGATGGCGTGTGCAAAGCACTACACAGGGGACGGTGGGACGGAGGGAGGGGTGAACGAGTAAAACACGGTGGCGAATTACACGAGTTGGTTAAGAGACGCTCTGGCCATGGGAGTATCAACGGTGATGGCGTCTTATTCCAGCTGGAATGGGGCCAAGATGCACACCAATCATTTTCTCCTCGCTCGTGTGCTCAAAGAGGAGATGTCTTCCCAGGTAATTTGCTTTACCTTCTTTTTTTTTTCTTTTTTGTTGGGGACACAGGATCCTTAAACGCGTATAACCTAACTTGCCACGTGTCTAACCTAACTGCATGTAGAGGAGTTGTCCGCTTGAAACAAAGAATAAAGTAGTTGGAATTTGGAAATAAAAAAAAAATACAAGCAAGTGCATTTAGTGATGGCTTTCGCATCCTTTAATTTGCCTTTGTTTTAATACAATAACTTTTGTATATATTCAATAAATACTATAAGTGTAATGATTCAGTGTCTGATGCATTGTTTGTTGGCATTGGAGAACAGGGTTTCGTGATATCAGACTGGGAAGGGGTTGATAGGGTTACCAGTCCACCAGGTTCAAACTACAAGGACAGTCTGAAGGCAGCGATCAATGCGGGGATTGACATGGTCATGATCCCTTTCAAATACCAGAGGTTCATAACAGATCTTACAGACCTTGTCACAACTGGCCAGGTTCCAGTGTCAAGGATCGATGATGCTGTCCGGAGGATACTCAGAGTCAAATTCATAGCTGGACTATTCGAGCAGCCCATGGCAAATAGATCCCTCCTTGGCTTGGTCGGACAAAAGGTCTACCCACATTACCAACTTCTAACAGACTTACAGTATTGTTTGTGTATATATGATAGTTTTATCACCATCACTGTTGGCAGACTCAGACCAGTAAAACTGTGACCCATTGAGATTTCTGGTTTTCTGTGTGGCTTGAGTCTGACCCATTGAGATAACATTTGTCTCAATTTATTTGCGTTTAATTTGTTTCCTCTCCCCAGAGGCATAGAGAATTGGCGAAAGAAGCTGTTAGGAAAAGCCTTGTTTTATTGAAGAATGGAAAGGATAAGCAAATGATGCTGCCCTTGGACAAGAAAGCCCCCAGAATTCTCGTAGCTGGAACACATGCTCATAATATTGGATACCAATGTGGGGGATGGACTGTAACGTGGCAAGGGTCTTCAGGAAATATCACCATAGGTACGAACTATATGAAAATTCCTTCCCTCAACATTCTGTTCATCTATTGTCTCTACCAAACCAGACACACAGAGAAACCCAAAGTTCTCAAGGCTCTACTTGTTTGCGGTACAAATCTGAACCAGATACAAATTTTGCGCCTGCTTCAGTTTTGCATCAATTTGTTGGTTTACATTTCTACCTAATGCAAAATTTGTAATTTTTTTCTCATTTCCACTTGTTCGCAATGCAATTTTGCATCTAAAAATCTAATGCAGAATTTTCACCACCTTTGTCCAATTTTGTTTCTCTCTCTCTCTCTCTCATAATATGAGGGGATCATATCATTTTAATTCCTGCCTTATTCCTCCCAACAAGATAACCTTTCTTCATGCATTTGATAACGTCGGATCACATCATTTTAATTCCTATTTTACTTTCACAGTCAGTCCATCTGCACTCCCCTACAGTTACACCAGTGCAACAAACAAACAGAGCCTAAGGAATTTTGTGGAAGTTCACAAGCACTTTCCCTCAACTTTCTGTTTCTCTCCATCAAACAAACATAAACATAGCCCAACTATTATACAAAGGAAATAACATAAACAATCTTGTACAGGAACCACAATCCTAGAAGGGATTAAGAATGCAGTTAGCAAGCAAACTCAAGTAGTATTTGAGGAGAAACCAGACAAACAATTCTTGAACAAGAACAGGGATTTTTCATATGCCATGGTCGTCGTCGGAGAACTTCCATATGCCGAGACTTCTGGTGACAGCAAGAATCTCACGCTAGCACTTGATGGTGGTGAAACGATCAAAACTGTCTGTGCAGAGATAAAATGCTTAGTGATCATTGTATCAGGTAGGCCGGTAGTTATAGAGCCTTATATGGATGTGATAGAGGCATTGGTGGCTGCGTGGCTCCCAGGGAGTGAAGCAGGGAAGGGAATTACAGATGTTATATTTGGGGACTATGATTTCCAAGGTAGGCTTCCGAGGACTTGGTTCCGGCGAGTGGATCAACTGCCGATGAATTTTGGCGACCCACATTACAATCCGCTGTATCCACTTGGATTTGGCCTTGAAATGAAGCTTTCATCGCATACAAGGGCTAGGATATCATCATCATCATCTTCATCTTCTTCTTCTTCGGAATCATTTTGTCATTAGCTTGATTTGTCATGCTTAATCAATGGTCTGGTTGATTCTGGGGAATGTGTTTATTGAATTGTATTTGTTTAGTGTAAAATATGTGCAATTTGTTTGTGTTTATTGAATTGTATTTATCTATGCAATATGGGCTGGGCTCAAGGAGTTGAACTTAAGGTTTTTCAAACTTCACTTTGGGCTTGGCTCATTAGTTTGAACCCAGCTAAAGAGTACTGGGAATTAGTTTTAGGTTGAAATATTGTGTAACCTTACCCAATCAAAGTCAAAGAAGAATCAATGTATCATTCCAATCTTTTTGTGACATTATCTACAAATAGATAATCCTATTATAGTCATGGGCTGGGTTCATTGCAATGAGCTAGGACTCCACAAAGTGGCAGTCTTAAACATCTTTTTATAGTGTTCCATTTAGCTCCTCCTCTAAATAAAAAGAAAAAGGAAAAAGTATTAGCATACTAATAAAATATAGCTCATATTAATGAAAATAGAAAAGTAAATAATATATTGAATGATGAGAATAATTCAATATTACCTAAGACTCGCTACCATTCTTAACTTCATACTCATTTTTATCAGTAGAAGATTTATTCTTATGCAGTAATGCATTAACAGAGCTTCTTTACTTGATAAGTTGAAATTCAATTACATTTAGAATGTGTGCATGTAGCCAATCTTAAAGACAAATTTATACTTCCACAATTTTTGGTTCGACTAAACCCCAAAACTATTCCGCTACCCTTCTTCCAGTACAAATGCCAGATTTTGACATTTTATTATAATATGAAATAGACAAAACATTGCGTGCCAATTTGCAAGTTCTTGATTCTTCACTGCATCCGTCTTCCACCATTTCATCTGCCATCCTATTCCTTGCTTCCTCCAAATAGTTCAGTAAAATGGATAAAGAAAATGGCAACCTTTAGAAAGTTCCAGGTTTTATACACTCCAATGCAATTCAATCCTAAGAAACAACTAAAAGTTAGTAGTACAAACGCAACAAAAAAAAAAAAAAAAAAACCTACAGAGAGAAAAAAGAAAGAAAGAAAATCTTGGAAAGAGCTAATTTTTCATGCTGCACAAGAGAGCAGCATGTAGAGCAAATTATCAGTAGATAGAGGCTTAGAGCCCAAGTCTAAAGTCTAATTTGAATAAGCCACAATAGATACATTGTAGAGCTGTGTTGTAACAATTAGCTGATGAGTTTACTCTGTTTTGATACTAATCAATCTAATTGCAACCCATGTATACACAAAATATATATATATATATATATATATAGGTTATCAATAGATGTTAGAGTACCTTCAGTTAGAACCGTCTACAAAATTATATTAATTGGACGTGTTATTGAAACATAGCATGTGAATCAAATCCATTAACAGAAAATCAATAAGAATTAGAAATAATTTTGGCTTGATTAATCTAAACAACTCAAAAGGAATTCGACATTAGGGTATGCTAGCATTATCTATAGACTGTAGCTTCAGAAATAATTAATCTAAAACCTTCACAACATTGCACTTTCTACCATCTAGAAGCAACAACTTCTAGATAGTCTAACCGTTCCTGTGAAGCTGTGACCTAATGACCAAAATGGTTTTGTCCTGTCCAAATCTGACAACATTGTTATAAGGCTATGTGAAAATTCCTTTGGAACTTTCCCTCATCATTCTGTTAATCTCTAGTCTCTACCAAACCAGACACAGAGAGAAAAAGAAAGTTCTCAAGGCTCTGTTTGTTTGCTGTACAAATCTGAATCAATACAAATTTTGCACCCGCTTCAGTTTTGCATCAGTTTGTTGGAGTGCATTTTTACTCAATGCAAAATTTATACTTTTTGTTTCATTTGCACTTATTGGCAGTGCAATTTTGCATTTCAAAAATTAATGCAGAATTTGCAGCACCTTTCTCCAATCCTGTGAAGGGATCACATCATCTTAATTCTTGCCTTATTCCTCCCAACTAAATAATCTTCTTCATGCCTTCTTTCTGTGGGATTACATCATTTTACTTTCCCAAACAAGCAGGATAGCTTCAAAATTAGGGCTGCAAATAAGTCGAATCAGATCTGATTTGAATCCGATACCGATTCGTTAAGAGGCAGATTCAGATGTCCCTCTTGATCCTAACAAATCGGATCGGATTGAAAAAGCCAATCCATTAATTTAACGGATCGAATTCGGAGATCAGATCCACTATGACCCGATTTGATCCATTAATTATGAAATATTATATATTATATATGCATATTCTATATATTATTTATATAATTATATAATATATATTATATTTTTATATTTTTTATATTATATAAATAATATAATATATTATTTATATTACATAATATAATTATAATTATAATCAAATCAGATATCCAATAAAACATTCAAATTCAAACTCGAATCATGCTTTTGAAAATCCGACGAATCCTTATTGAATTCGGATCAGTCAGATTTTCTTAGCAGATCAGATCGGATAATGTCCTTACCGAATCCGATCATTTGCAGCCTTAATCAAAATTGAGGCAAAAGTAAACTAGAATTTATAGTCGTTCCATTTGCACTCCCTTACATTTACACCAGTTCAACAAACAAACAGAGCCAAAGGAATTTTTGGAAGTTGAACACAAGCACTTTTCCTCAACTTTCTGTTTCTCTTCATCAAACGAAACGTAAACATAGCCCAACTATTATATAAAGGAAATAACATAAACAATCTTGTACAGGAACCGCAATCCTAGAAGGGATTAAGAATGCAGTTAGCAAGCAAACTCAAGTAGTATTTGAGGAGAAACCAGACAAGGAATTCTTGGATAAGAACAGAGATTATTCATATGCAATTGTCGTCGTCGGAGAACATTCATATGCTCAGACTTCTAGTGATAGCAAGAACCTCACACTAGCAGTTGATGGTGGTGAAACGATCAAAACTGTCTGTGCAGAGATAAAATGCCTAGTGATCATGATAGAGCCTTATGTGGATATGATAGTGGCATTGGTGGCTGCTTGGCTCCCAGGGAGTGAAGCAGGGAAGGGAATTGCAGATGTTATATTTGAGGGCTATGATTTCCAAGGTAGGCTTCCGAGGACTTAGTTCTGTCGAGTGGACCAACTGCCAATGAATTTTGGGGACCCACATGTTGGAATTCAAGTATGACGGTATGAGTAAGTTGAAGTGAATCCCACATTGGGGGGTTAAGCTTAAGCTTTTGGGTAATATGTGGTGTCCCTCTCTTGTGTACAACACCTCGGTTTTGATGACTCCCATCAATGCTCATGCGGTATATATCATAGTTTTTAACATTTCTCTTAAATTCACAACTTTTCAAAATGTCTAATACTCACTATGTCAATAAGTTTTTATTTTCCAAAACTCACCTTCCGTTAGTGCACCCTTAATACTTCTTAATAGAGGTGTCATGTCAGCATAAATAACAATTTTCGTGAACAAATTACCCTTCAATGGTGAGTTAGAGGAAAAATTGTATTTTTCAGTTTTCAATTTTCTTGTTTTTTTTCCATTTTTTATGTTTTGTTATAATTTCTGTTTTTAAAATTTTTCCATTTTCTACAATCTATAATTTTTAGGTGTTTTTTCTACAGTTTTTATTTTTTTATTTTGTTTTTCAATTTTTATAGTTTCTATAATTTGAAAATAATTTTTTATTTTGTTTGCAATTTCTATAATTTTTTGTAATTTCTATGTTTTTATGTATTTTATATTTTAAAATATTTTTTAAACTTTTTCCTTTTTTCATATCTAAATATTAAAATGGTAATATATTAACACCTGTTAATTTATTTTGTATATATTTTATATTTTTCTATGAAGATTAAAATGGTAATATATTAATGCCCATTAGTTTGTTTAACGCCAAGTTAGTGACATGGTGGGTTTTAGACATTTTAAAAAGTTATAATGAGTTTAACAGAAATGCTGAAAACTCATGGCGTTCTTAGACAATTTCCCATTGAACTGTATTTATTAATGCAAAATATATGCAATTTGTTTGTGTTGGGTTGAAGTCCATGATAGACCCATTTTTATCTATCAATATGGGCTGGGCTCAATGGAGTTGTACTTTGATGTATTTCAAACCTCAGTTTGAGCTTGGCTCATTACTTTGAACCCAACTAGAGTAGAAATAGTTTTGGGTCGAAATATTGCGTAGCCTTACCTAATCAAAGTCTAGAAGAATCAATGAATCATTCCAGCTCTTTTCTTTGACAAATAGTGACCCCCCAACTTGCAACGACTGACCTTACATCATCAAACTTAAATCATTTTTATTATAGACATTGCACTTCCTCTCTCTATACGAAATTTGAAACACACTTCATCTCAACTTAAATAATTATACTGTAGATCGTAGATATGGGAATGTTAAATTTAGGGGCCTTGGGCATTTAGTTGCATTCCATATATTTTTCATAACGAAGATGCGGTTTAAAGTCCAACAATCATTAGGGGTGAGAAAAAAAAATCGAAAAATGAATTGATCGAAACTAAATGGAAAAATTGGTTAATCGAATCAGTTGGTTTGGTGTTTTTAAAAAATCAAAGGTACTGATTTCGGTTAACTAATATAGAAAATCGGCGATTAATCAAACCAATAGATTCATATCTGAAAGAGGTTGACAATAAGTTCTTTCAAAATTGACTATTTGTCCCTCTATTAGAGGTGTTCTAGAAATGTCTGCGATCGAGTAAATAGCTCTACGAACGAATGGATCGGATCGAATTGGAAAATGGAAAGATTTGTACAAGTTATACGTTTCGTCACCACTTTGTGGAAAATCGTTAGGTATGAATAWGTTAGATACCTGTGACTCGATTGGTGAAATAGTATCTCTCTCCAAAAAAGCATATATATTTATGTATATTATATATCATATATTATAAATTAATAAATATGCATTATATATAAATATATATATTTATTTATAATTTTTTATTATTTTATAAAAATTAAAAAACTAAATACCGATGAGTCAAACTGATGGTTTATCGTACCGGTCAACCGAACTAATTGACTTTGGTTCGATTTCAGTTACCGATTTTTCAAAAACTGGTAATACCGATTCGTTTACAAAAAAAGCCCACGGTTCGGTTACAGAACCGTGAGTACCCCTAACTATCATCGTCTTTGAAAGAAAAAAGTTATATGCAAATAGCAAAGTGTTTAATAATGTGATGTTATACTGTTCATAGAAAAAGTAACGGCCCCTATCAAGAATTTAGGGGTTGATTAGTACAAAAAATCCAAGAAAATCAAGAAAATTACAAGACAGAAAAGAAAATCAAGTAAAAGTGGATTAATCAATTAAGGGCATCATAGAGAGAGAGAGAGAGAGAGAAAGAGGGGTTTGATCATGGGCTGGGTTTAGCATATAACCTATAAGAATAAACACATAGATAATCCTATATAGTCAGGCACATAGATAAACCTATTATACACTTCACAAAATAGTAGTCTTCGACTATCCAACTTCAACTACAAACTAGGAAGCTCAATGAGCTAGAACTCCACAAATTGACAGTCTTTAAACATCTTTCTAAGGTGTTCCATTTAGCTTCTTTAAATAAAAAGTATTAGCAGACTATTAAAATATAGCTCAAATTAATGAAAATAAAAAAGTAAATAATATATTGAATGAGAAAAATTTAAGGGAAAATCTATGATGCTGGAAATGCATGATACCAGAAAGGCTTTGGCCAAATTATAACCTTTCATGAATTTTGATGAAAATCCACCTGATTGGTTACCACCTTTATGATTCTAATCGATTAGTTGTAAGTTTTTTTGGTATCATGTTTTTCTGATATCATAGTTGAACCAATAATTCAATATTACCTAAGACTTTCTATCATTCTTAACTTCATATTCATTTTTATCATTAGAAGATTCATTCTTATGCATTAATGTATTAAAATAATTTTGTATTAAAAAAGTTGAAATTCAATTACATTGAAACTATTTACATGTAGCCAATCTTAAAGACAAATTAATATTTACATACTTTTGGCTTGATTAAAGCCCAAAGTTATTCCACCACCTTTCCTCCAATACTAAATGTAGGCTTTTAACACTTTAGTTGTGATTAAAATAAACAAACATCGCGTGCCAATTGCAAGTTCTTTTTACTTCATTGCACCATTCTTCCACCATTTCAAGATATCCATTTCATGTCATGCTATTCCTTGCTTCTTCCAAATAAATATTCAAGATAGTTTTTCCCTTTTTCTTTCTCCATCTTTTTTTTATACCATCCCTAGAATAATTGAATAGGGCTGCAGATAAATTAGACTAAATTTGATAAAGGGTATATCCGATCTGATCCGATAAGAAATCCAACTGATCCAAATCCAATAAGAATCCATCAGATTTTTAAGAATACATTTGAATTTGAATATTTGATATCTGATTCAATTAGAACTGTAATAAAAAACTTGATGATATAATATAAATAATATATTATACTATTTATATAATATAAAAATAATGTATAGTATATAATATTTTATAACTAACAGATTGGATCAACTTGTGATAGAACGGATTAGGGTATAATGAATTCGATTTATTAGGATCACGAGAAGTATCCGAATCCAACTCTTACTAGATTGAATTCGGATTCGAATCATATCTGGTCCGACTTACTTGCAGCCTTATAATTGAATGCATGCTCGACATTACACGTTGGTAAATAGAAGGATCTATTGATGCACATTTTGCACATGTAGATTCCATTTGGTGAATGCAGACTTTTGGATACACGTTTTGGTTTAATAGTATATATTAGGTTTAGTATTCTTTTGGTAATAATATATTAGGTTTAGTAGAACATATTGTATTGTGGGTACGTACATATTGTATATAACTGGTTACTACAAACGAAGTTTACTTTATCGAATCATTTGTAGATGTTATTGATTTATGTATTTTAGAATTAAAAGAAGATTGCACGACTGTTGTTGGAAATTTGTATGAAAATAAAATAAGATGTTAAAGTTAATTTAAATTTCTATCTTTGTCAATTTATATAAATAACAATAAATAACATCATTGTTTATACATGATAAACATGACAATAGGGCAACTTATTTTTACTTCATCAAGAACACAAAGTTGTTTTTTAATCATTCCATTGTAAAAGAACATGATAGTAACTAAATTAAAACTTTATCCGTATAAATTTTAATTTTTTAATTAAATTATATTAATAATTACAAAAATTTTGTTGCAAGATAAAAACAATTATGGAACTGGATGGTTCAACATCATTTTAATTTTTATTGACATTAGTGAATATCAACAAATTTAATTCCATAAATTATGCTATTAATGATTATTTTATTGAATTTTACATAATAATGCTCATATGATTACTTGATGTAGAGATTTTTCAAATCCAATTTTTTCTAATAATAACATTTATTATAACTTACATTTATGTTCAGTAATTGAACTTCAGTTACATTAATTTATGATTTCTTACATTTTTTGAGAGGCAAATAATATAAAATGCATATTTCCTTCTATCCTTTAGTCATCAAATTGAACATTGGATTTTTTTCTAATTCAATCTAATCTCCACAAGTATTAGATTAAATTAGGTATAGGAGTCATATCATAATTAGAATTTAGAACAAAGGAGCATAATCCCTACATATTTCACATAAAAGACTGCACTGCGGCTTGCACGTTTGTAGTCTAAAAAGTAAGTTGCACAGCAAGAGTTGAATGATGTATAGTACCGCCGTTTCAATGAAATGGATTCAAATATGAACTAGTATTACCTTAATTCCCACTAACCCATGTACTAAAAAATAATAAAGAAAATTTACAAATAAACCCCTTTACAAAGTTGCTTTGACAAGCATTCCTCATGCGAAAATAATTATTTGAAGTACAAACTCTAGGATGCCATTTGAAAATAAAGTCTTGGTTGTATGTGAGTTTCATCCTACATTCTTCAAATCTGCTGCCATTTGGACTTGAATTGCAGGAGATTCATGGAGAAGTGATTCAAGCTCCCCAAAGTACCTTCCAAGTTGACAAGGACTCAAAGGTTTTTCTGGTGTAGTTTCTTCATGGGAGTTTCCTCCCAAATTGGCAACACCATCTCCTGAACTGCTAGCCAAGATGTCCTCGTGGAACAATTTAAGTGCACCGATACTTGAAATGGAATGCACAGATTCATACAAGGATTGCAACTTCTCTCTCTTTTCTAATGTTTCAACCAGCTTCTGTTTTAGGCCATCCGGTAGACAAGCTAGTACACTGTACAAGGATTCCAAACCCCAAAGTATACGGTTGAGAGTTGAGACAAGAAATGAAATTAGTTTGTGTTGAGAACAATAATTAGTATGTTCATAACAAGAATTAATATGTTCCTTACCTTGTAATTCCTCTAACAATGCCCCAGTTGTATCCGACAAGTACAGATTGTTTAAAACCAATATTGAACCCCTCCTGTGCAGAAGTTTCCTTCCCAGCCATTAGACCATCGCGGTAGCCAATCCAAGAATTCATTAAGGACCACAAAGTATCTCGAGTTTCGATTATAAAAGTGTCATTTGTGCATATATGGGCAGATTACTGGATAATCATAAAAGCATCAGAACAAGATTGAAACAAGAGATGTCAACCACCAGAAAAAGTATGGTATGGGCATGTGAAAGGGATGACAATAATATGAAGCTTTCACATTTTAATAATACAACAGTTAAAGTAACATTTTAAATAAGATGCTCGCTAAAACTGAATGGAGGGAGCTTGGTGTAAAAACCATAATCCACCCTAGATGTGTAACTAGTCAAACAAGTGTAGTACATGGACTTCAGTAACTTAACAACTTATCTCAATTACTAAACCTTTACGAACACCATAACTCCTATGTCAGATGGTCTGACCAAATAGCTTGGAAACATGATCAATACTAACTGAAGAAACCTTTTAAGGATCCAATAACAGCGCAACTATCACAACAACAATTTGTAAATAGTCCAAAAATACCATTTATTCCGTTTATCTACCACTCCATGGTCAAACTCTCCTGCCTTTACACCCTACCCCATCATGCTGTACATAACTAAGTTCCAAATACAATTACAATACTTGTACTAGTATTTACATTGCATAATAATCTCAAACCTTTATTTCACTTTCAAGTTGCCTGTGCCACCAAAATTTTCAAGAAACCAGTGTCACCTCAAAGACAATATGACTTTAACTTCCAATAACAAAACACAAACCCACTTCAGAAGAACAAAACCCATAGCCCCAAATATCAAGACATAAAAACAACAAATAAGTATCTGAAAACAAAGAGAATCATCATAAAACACAGAAAATTCTCACTTTATGCTGAAGTAAATATTTCGTACCAATTTCTTCCTCCTTTTTTCTGCTTTGTTTAAGAGAGTAATTTGGTTTTAATACACATTGAGATGATAAAGGAAAACAGGTCTGAAAATTGACCTCTTCTCAGGTATGAAATCACTTTTCAACTCTCTTTGGGAGTGTTTGAACAGTGCCTTCTAGAGTCTTGGCACTATTTATAGCAAACTTAGTAATGTTACATAACGAGGCAAAGGATACTTTGGCAGTGCGCAAGGGCAGACGGTGGCAGAATTTTTTAAAATAAATAATTGGAATAGATCCCATTACCATTAGAATTGGACATTGGCCTTTGCCTTGTGATGAGTTTAAAGGTATTACTATGAATGATTTACAAAAGAGGTTGGCAGCCAGTGATAGGGGTATCAAGCTCGAAATCAGCAAAGACAAGTAGAATGGGCAGCACCAACAGAAGGAAGACTGAAACTCAATTTTGATAGGTATAGCCTAGGTAACCCAGGGACTTCAGAAATTGGGGGAGTTGGAGTTGTTAAGGATGATAATGGCAACATGTATCTTAGTTATTCAGGTCCAATTGGATCAGAGGTGAAGAAAACATTCCCTGGGAATACAGAGCATTAATGAGGCAAGCAAAGGCACTGGACAACCCCTTGAATAGCTCATCAACTGGGTGTCCAGGTCTGCTAATGTACACTGATGCCTTGGCAAAAGAAGGGGCTGCAAGAGAGTCTTTTGTGGGGAATTCCTGAGCCACGTCTTATTGTGTAAAGCTCTTATTTTTGTTCTAAATGCTTGATTGTTGCTTAGAGAGCAATGTTGTACTTCATTGACGAGAGCTGAAGAAAACATTCCTTGGGAATACAGAGCATTAATGAGGCAAATAAAAGCACTGGACAACACCTTGAATAGCTCATTCAACTGAGTGCCCAGGTCTGCTAATGAACTGCTGATGCCATAGCAAAAAGAAGGGACTGCAAGGGAGTCTTTTGTGGGGAATTCCTGAGCCAGGTCTTATTGTGTAAAGATCTTATGTTTGTTCTATATGCTTGATTTTTGCTGAGAGAGCAACATTGTGCTCCATCCTTGCCACTCATTGTTTGGGTGGTAAAAACTTTCTCTATGAATTCAACTACATTATTATTGATTGTTACTTTAGTACAACCAACTGTTCCAGTACACACTATTAAGGAAAAAACTGAAAAAAAAAATATATAGTTGTACAAAAAACTTATATCAGAGGTTACATGTTTCAACACCTCAACATCAAAAGATATCAGTATCAGGAAATTAGCATTTTTCATTCATTAGGTGGGAGGATAACTTTGATCAAATCTACCTTAGCCAACCTTCCTGTCTACTTTACATCAGTTTTTAGGATGCCCTTGGTTATTGTGAGAAAGCTGGAAAAGATTATGAGAGATTTTTTGTGGGAGCCTGGAGAAGGGAAGAAAGATCATCTGCTCAGGTGGGAGAAGGTGTTGAAGTTGAAGGCAGAAGGGGGCTTGGGGATTGGGAACCTTAGAATGAAAAATTGGGCCCTACTAAGTGGCTATGGAGGTTCCCGAGGGAGAGCAATAGGCTTTGGCATAAACTGATAGCAAGTGTGCATGGGCTGTCAAACAATGGATGGGACACTGGTTGTCTCCAGAGAGCCACCTTGGCTACTCCTTGGAAAGCCATCCAGAGTTGTCTTCCTACATTCCTCAATCACATCAGGTAGGACTTGGTTTCCGGTCTTAAGATTAGGTTTTGGGAAGATATTTGGATTGGGGATTCCCCTTTGATGAAGATCTTCTCCTCACTTTATGTTTTGTCCTTCCTCAAAGGCAGACCAGTGACCGAGTTCATTTGCTCCTCTTCCTCTCCTTCTGAGTTAAATTGGAACTTGGGCTTTGTTAGGAATCTTAGAGAGTCTGAAATTCCCCCTGTTACCGGTTTGCTCTCTCTTTTGAATCCAGTGGTTCTTGGGGTTGGGGGCGAAGATGGCAGGCTATGGAGCCTTGGGTCTTCTGGGACTTTCACTTGTAAATCCTTCTCCCTTGTAGCTTCCTCTCCTTCACCTTCCTCTTTCCCTGTTAAAGAAATTTGGTCTTCTCCCATCCCTCCTAGAGTCAGTGCTCTGTTGGGAAGTGTATTATTGTTGTATTAATACTTGTGATAAGCTTCAGAGGAAGAGGCCAAATTGGTGTTTCTCCCCCAACTGGTGCAGCTTGTGTAAGCTTAATGGTGAGACTGCAGTCCATCTTCTAATTTCCTGTCCTTTTGTTAGCTTTATCTGGGAATGGTTTGCTTCACTTTTTGGTTGCAGGTGGCTCTCTCCTGTTAGCTTGGAAGGGATGTTCAACCCTTCTATTTGTAGGTGTTCTACTAATAGGGGTAAGCTGTTGTGGAAATGCACAAGGGCAGCAGTTATTTGGTCAATTTGGGAGGAAAGAAACTAGAATCTTTGGGGAAAAGGAGAGGAGCAAGGAAGCACTGATTGAAGTCATAACTCAAAGAGAGGCTCACTGGGTTAAGACAATTTGTTTTCAGACTTTAAGTTTGATGACTTCTTCAGGGTGTGGGGGCTATAGCAGCATCTTCTTCTAAAAGACAGATTGCAACGGTGGACTGGTCTCCCCTGCCTCGTGGTTGGTTTAAACTGAACTTTGATGGGAGTAGTGTGAGTAATCCAGGCCCCGCTGGAATTGGAGGAGCTATCAGGGATGATGAAGGTAATATATGTGCCTTCTTCTCGGGCCCAGCTGGGCAAAGTGATGTTGCATCAACAGAACTCTTAGCAGCTGTCTATGGGCTTGACAAAGAAAAGGAATTGGGTCTAGAGAAGCTAGTTATTGAAGGTGACTCCAAAATAGTTGTTGATTGGTTAAAGAAAGAGGAAGGAGTTTCATGGCACCTAAGGAATGATCTTATGAGGTTCAAAAGGCTCTCCATGGCTATGTTGATTCAAATTAATTGGATTAGAAGATCAGCCAACAGTTTGGTGGATAGTTTAGCCAAACAAGGGGTACATAGTCGCACTATGTTTTGGGTTCAGTTGTAACTTTGGGGGTTGGACAGTTGGTGTCTATTTGTAACTTTCACAACTACTTGTTTTGCCTCTTTAATTAATTTAATGAAATCTTCTTCTGGGTATTGATAAAAAAAGCATTTTTCATGAGAAAAGAATTTTTTTTTTTAAATTTCTATGGATACTGTATGGAATTCATTGTGCCTCCTTTGCCATTCCCTGTCCAATTCAGATGCCTTATTGAGTCCATTGTCAGAACCATCACATAGACTCTCATCTTCACCCCACAAGTCACTGTCATCACACTCTGAAATCAAAAGCTCTAATCAAATTTTGTTTCATCAGTGAGCATGAAAAATTTGCATGCATGGTGGACAATTAGGAGATGCTACAGTTAGGCCTGTCAATGATACACGAAAATCTGAGGCCCGATCCGACATCCATTCCAATTATCTCGGATTGGATTCAGATGTTACGATCTACATCTGATTTATAATCGGATCGGATTCAGATTTGACCCCATTCAATCCGATTATATTATAATATTTTATTGATCTTGATATATAAATTTTATATAATTATATTTAAAATTATAAAGAAATATATTTTTATATTATATTATATATGAATATATAAAAAAATAAATTCAGTATGTTATATTTATATTAATTTATTATATATAAAAGTTGAAAAGTAATTATTTTTTTTGGTATTTTAAAAAATTAAAGCAGAGTCAGATTAATCTGATCTGAGTCTGCTAGAATTCGATTTCAAATTCAAAGTCTTCAAATTCAATCAGATTTGGATGCAAGTTTTCAGTAATCAGGTTGGATTCAGATTTGGCTGAATCCGATCCAATTACAGCCCTAGCTACAGTACGAGATCTTGAAACTTCTAAATGAAATGCTTCAACTATGGTGTGTGCATGGTTGTAAAGGTGATGCAGAAAGGTAGAATTCATATATAAACTATGCATGTGCAAATCTAAAAGTGATACAGAAACATACAATTCACTTCAAACACAGAAAAATTAAATCCATACCATATGAATCACTCTGGTGACTGATGCAGGTTGACACATCACCTATTTCCCCATTCAAGGGCTTTATTGTTTCCACTGATGGGTAGAGCTTCTTAGCAAGGCTTTCCTCCATAACCACGTACCCTGCAAGAAATTTCGTAAAGGTCAACTCAGAATTAAGATAGACTTCCAAACTATCAAAAAGGTAAGCAAGCACATAAATGGAATGGGCAATCAGAAAAATTTTAATTCATTAAAATGCTATGGTTTTGGGGAAAGATGGTGTGGATGTGTTATGGGCCCACGAATAGGATCCTGTCACGGGTCGGTCCACGGGGAAAACCTCTTGTTTTCCCTTGTTCCTCCCTTTTCTTGAAGAACCTATCTTGCTGCCCTAAAAGGTGATTTGTTCAAGAGATCACCAACTCTCCTTTGCTCTCTTTCTTGACTGAAATTTTCGATG